CGGTTGAGCTATAGGCGCCGAGCCAAGAAATGACAGTCTTACTGGCATTAGGTGCCTAAGAGGATGCAAAGGAACATACCTAAATTCAGACCATTTCTCGTCTGAATTCCGTATATACTCATTTCATGACCACATGAAGAGAGCACCTGAATGTTTGTCAGTTCCAAACTCCCAGGCTAGAGTGCCATGGCCTCAGCCTAGCTCAGAGCAATTTCAAACTCCTGGGTTCAGGCAATCCTGCCTCAGCCTCCCAGGTAGCTCAGAGTACAGGCACCTGCCACAAAGCCCAGCTCATTTTTCATCTTTTAGTAGATTATGGAGGTCTGTCTCTTGTTCAGGCAGGTTTTGAACTCCTGAGCTCAAGGGATATACTGACCTCGGCCTCCCAGAGTGCTGGGATTATAGGTATGAGCCACTGTGCTTGACTGAAGGCTGCTAGTTTTACTTTGTCGTTCTAGATAGGGTACAGTGGCATCACAGCTCACAGCAACTTCAAATTCTTGGGCTCAAGCGATTCTCTTGCCTCAGCCTCCTGAGTAGCTGGGATGACAGGCACCTACCACTGTAGTGCCCACCTGTTTTTAGAGATGGAATCTCACTCTTGCTCAGCCTGGTCTTGAACTACTGAGCTCAAGCAGTTCACCTGCCTCGGCCTCCCAGAGTGCTAGGATTATAGATGTGAGCCACTGTGCCCAGCCAGGAGGCTGCTCTTCTGATGGGCATCCACCTGTCCTACTTTCATGTACCTCTCAGATTTTTATATGAGATGTAAAGTCTCCATCTTTTTTAGTGGCCCTATATGATCATCCTTTTAATAAGCCAGATTGTCATTACCCTTTTGCCTCAGTGTATTGTCTAGTATTAGTTATTGGCTGTGAGTCAGTAACAACTCAAACACAGGGGCTTTTGCCAGTTCACTTATTTTTCAGCAGTACTACAAAAACATCATGTAATTCAGCTCACCAAACCAGTATGTTTTCACCTTTTTTAGTTAGAGTGGCAGCCTGCCAAACCAGAATGCTGTTCATTCACCTTGAAATTGCCTTCCCCAAACCAATTAGTTCTTGGTCAGTCAGTTGGGAGCTGTTCAGTGGGCACTGTAGCATCCTGTAGCTTCTGGATATAACACAGTCCCAGAGTCAGTTCTAGGAAAAGAGGCTCCCTTAGAATAGGTATTCTCTCCTTGTATTCCCTAGGTAAAATTATCCCTATATAAACCATTTCCGTTTTATTATGGAACTCTTCTGAGCACTCCTGTCTTCATCAGAGTATGTCTCTGACATCACCCAAGACATGATGGATTCAGGTTTAAAGATTATTTTATGTCCTTCAGTCATAGGGGTAGCTTCAGTTAATGTCCCATAACAAGGTAGTAAATATACTTCAAATGGAAATTCTCTAAAGTCCCAGTATTTGTCACTGGGAGATGCTAATAGGTTTTTGCCATTAGCTCCAGTAAACTCTCCCATGAGGGCTATCATATGGAGAATTTGTCCGTATCAGTGCTCCAGCTTCTTTTCTGCACTGTGAGCTCCAGCAGTCCTACTGGTTATCATTTAGCATGTCCAAAAAATACTGCTTGAAGGGTGGATTTACTTGCCTTCTGTTTTACAATACTATGTGGGGGAAACAATCCCCAGTCAGATAAAGGAGATACAACTTCTTTTTTTTTTTTTTT